ATGTTGTGATCCAATTTTGTTTTAGCTTTGCCATCTTTATACGGGTACCTTACTAGTTTGAATTGTAGCATCTCATTATGATCAAAGCTACTTATTGTCAGCTTTATCTGGGTTTCATGTAGTATCACTTGTAGTGTAAATTCTTTTCTCGATAAATATGCAAGAGTCATCGATCTTTTGATTCACTCGTTTAAGCGAGTTCTTATTTCTGCACTATTCTTGTCTCTGGATCTCGTTTCCGAATCTGGCAATAGCATCATGACCTAGATCTATGTCTAGCGCATGTTTTTGTTTTGTGAAATCGACTAATCGAATTCTATTCGTTTCCAGCTCTCACTTTGTGTTTAAGGAAGTGATCTAGAGGAGACGAAGCGACTGCATTTTGCCTGACACGATGGCCGTGAATGGCGTCTATATCGTGTTGGGTGAGGCGAACACTGTGGTCGCGTTGCTGAACAAAGCTAGGAGGTAAGTTCAGATCCAAGGTTTTATTGTCTAGAGATTTTGCAAAATTATTTACAAGTTGGCACTTCATAAGATGATTATTTCGTATTTTCGTAGTCATAAAGTTTTTATCTTCTTTGCAGTCTCTTTTAAACTTTTTCTGACCGTCATATATTGTTGCTTTTTTCGGCGGTTTAAGTGGTTCCATGAAATTAATAGGATGCGTTAGGTTTTTGCAATTTTGATCCTCTTTTCTCTCAATGAAGATTGCCTACAGCTCTTTAGGGGGAAGGGAGAGATATCTAGTAGGTTGAGTGTCTATGAAAATGCAGATCTGCTAGTTCTAGTTTTAAGCCATTCAGCGTTTTGTAAGTGAACAAAACCTTCATCAAAAAGTGGATATTTATTCTTCATGGATTTTCCTGCAAGATCAAATTTTCTTTGTAGACAGTATCAACTTTCTCATCAGCCACCCACTCTTGAGGATACAGAACCACTTTTGAGGAACTTCGCAGACCTTAAAGAAGTTCTCAATGAAGTGAGCAGCTTTTTCTCCACTACTGATGCCAATAACATTTTCTCAGGTCGCTGATCTGGGTGATATGAATCCGCTCACGTATTTATCTCCATTCTTGGACGTCATAAAGGCACAGAATACTAATGGACCTATAACCGAAGCAGCGCTATCGTCTGTAGCCAAATTCCTGAGTTATGGAATGATAGATGCAAATAGGTGAGTTGAGCAGATGCTAGTGTATGAAAATTGTAATAATTATTTATTCTTATATTTGTGATCCATTCTTTCTTCAGTATAAAAGCGGCAAATGCTGTGGAATCCGTAGCTTATGCAGTAGTACACACAAAATTTATCGGAGGCAAAAGCAGTGGCAGTGATGAATGTGTGCTTTACAAAATTTTACTGGTATGTCTCTCATTTCATGAGCTTGCATTCGTGTCTAAATTCTTTTTACCAAGGTTCTGCGGTCTTTATTGCTTTCACCACCCGGTGCGCTGCTATCCAATGAAGCAGTGTGTGATATGATGCAGTCGTGCTTCCGGATTGTATTTGAGCAACACTTGTCACCGCTACTGAGAAAAGCTGCTGAAGCAACTCTTAGTGACATGACACAACTGATATTTACGCGATTACCTACCTTCCATGAGGATGCGAGGCATCCTTACATCAGAAAATTGGTAAGTGAGCAATTATGGTCTTGCTTATTTAGAATTCTTTCGACCTATTCTAGGTAATGAACGCAAAAGGCGAAAAACGTCGACGGCGACGGAGAAGGACAGATTCTATGGCGGAAAGCGAAAAGGTGCGTTGCGATTATAGCAGATTTTGGTAGATTGTAGATTAGCTTATAGAGATGATTATATTTAAGGATGATCTTGAGGTTGTACAACCAGCAGCAGTGCCGAAAATCCCGCATGTACCCAGTGATATTCCATCCGTAGCGTCTGCGGAAAATTTGGAAGCTACGGAAAAGACGCCATTGGTAAAGAATGAGGGAGACGCGGCTAGTCTTGGTCAGTTTGTTTTTGTTGGTTTGTCTTTCCTCTTTCACTAAATTTTGCATCTGTTTTTGTTACCCTAATTTCACGCTTAAAAGGCGTACCTTTTTTCGATTTTTTAAGCGAGTCGCTCAGCCGCTTCACTGTGATTCGGAAAGTGTTTGGAAAATGATCCTTATGCCGCATGATTCTTTTAAGCTATCGTCTGATTCAGTCAAATAGGCGGCTGGTAGGCGTGGTTTTGTAACCTAGTTAAGGCTAGAGAGTGCCAGAGAGCATGGCTGCGGCAGAGACGCAGGTGCGGCGCGGGTGCGAGCGGTCGCCCTTTCAGCCGC